TCCCTCTGGAGCCTGGCTAATCAAATCCAGGCCTGACCTCTGCAAAGGCCCTGGACCAGGTAATAAGTTCCCTTCTTGGAGCTGCTGTAGCTCTGGTTCTCTGGAGACCCTGTCCCTCTGGGTGATCTATAGGGGTGTCCAGGACCATTTCCTGTCATTTCTATTCCCCTCTTACCTCTGCCGTAACCTGCTGCATCCACGGTGAATGGGTCACAGGGGAGCCGGAAGACCCTTTCACAAGTGCACAGGGATAGGGTGCTTGCTATCTCCTTTTCCCTGTTGCTTCCTTTTGGCCCTCACACCTGGCAGGCTCCCACCTACTTCCTTACCTCTTCTGTCACCCAGCGAAGGGAAGAACCCAGAACTGTCCTCAGAGGACCGAGAAGTGCGGAAGTGGACGCATCAACTGCCAGGACCATAGCACTGGGTAATGGGTAGCAGCTAACGCAGGCCACAGTCATCAACCACACTGTGGCCTCTGTGATGACCTTATTTTCATTTTTGATTCAGAATCCCACGGTGTAGCTCAAGCTGTTCTTGAATTCATGATCACCCTGCCTCAGCCTCCTGAATACCTGGACTACAGATGTACGCTACCACACCTGGCTAAGAACAGGTTTCTGTGGGGGGTGTGGTAGGTAGCTCATGCCAACACCTAGGAGACCTCAGAAGAAAGATTACATTGAGTCTGAGGTCATCCTGGGCTACATAGCAAAACTTTGTTTAAAAAAAAAAAAGAACAGGACAGAACAAACAAACAATACAAACACACACGACTTATGAACTAAATATGCTCTACCTTTTTTTTTTTTGATCTTTCAAAACAGGGTTTCTCCGTAGCTTTCGAACTCACAGAGATCAGCCTGCCTCTGCCTCCCGCAAGTGCTGGGTGCTGGGATTAAAGGCATGCGCCACCACCACCCCCGTCTGACTCTCTACCCTGACACTAGAGGAGCCCAAAAGCCTGTTTGTATGTAACAAGTCTTTCTCTGTCCCTCCAGCCAGCTTCCAAATAATGACATGGAGACTTTTTATTAATTATGAAAACTCAGCCTATAGCTTAGGCTTGTTCCTATCTAGCTTTTGTAACTTAATTAACCTATTTAATTAATCTACTTTCTGTCATGTGGCATTATCTCTCTTCCATCTTGCCCTTCCTATTTCTTTCCCTGTCTCCTGTCATCCCTTGCAGGTCTAGATTCATCTCCTACTTCCTCTCTCTCTGCCCAGAAGTCCCGCCTATACCTCCTGCCTGGCTATTGGCCATTAAACTCTTTATTAAAACAATTACAGGGCTGGAGTGATGGCTCAGAGGTTAAGAGCATTGCCTGCTCTTCCAAAGGTCCTGAGTTCAATTCCTAGCAACCACATGGTGGCTCACAACCATCTGTAAAGGGGTCTGGTGCCCTCTTCTGGCCTGCCGGCATGCAGACAGAATATTGTATACATAATAAATAAATATTTTAAAAAAAACAATTACAGCAATGTATCTTCACACCGTGTACAAACATCCCACAACAAACAAACAACACACAAGACTTAAGAACCAAATATGTTCTGCCATGATACAAGAGGAACCCAAAGCCTTGAAGGTTCTGGTTCTCCAGCTAAGCTGGGTAAGCTCTCTGACTTGGAGACTGTGGTAGAGGTTAGCGCAGAATCTGAGGGTCCTGAGGGCACCTACCCCTCCATGTATGCTGCGTAAACTAGGTCACTCAGCAAGCCCCAGGCTGACCAAAGAGTAAGTGAAGGCCAGGAAGAGGAGAGGGAAGCAGGAGGCTTGGTGAGAAGAACACACCTGATAGCCCGCTCGACTCCCCGGGTGAAGCTGAAGCTGACCAGGCTGGAGAGATGGTCCAGTTGAGAGCACTGGATGCTCTTCCAGAGGACCCAGGTTCACTTCCCAGCACCCACATGGCAGCTCACAACCATCTGTAACTCCAGTTCCAGGGGATCTGACACCCTCTTCCAGTCTATTTGAGGAACAGGCAAAATACCCATACACATAAAATAAGAATAAATAAATATTGTATATTTTGTTTGTTTTCTCGAGACAGGCTCTCACTTTGTAGCCCATGGCTGTCCTGGAACTCCCTCTGTAGACCAGACTGGCCTCAAAGTCACAGAGATCCAGTTGCCTCTGCCGCCGAGTGCTGGGATTAAAGGCGTGCACCACCACCACCCAGCCAAAATGATATCTTTAAGAAGAAGAGGAAGAGGAAGAAAGGAAGAGGAGCCTGGTTTAATGTACAGTCTGCTGCAGGGGTTCCTGGCCTTGGAGAGAGAGAAAAACTGGCTAGGGTAGTAAGGACACCCCTGCAGAAGGCCTGGCCTTCAGTACCCCTTTTACAAGACAAAAAGATTCACTTCAAAATGGGTTTTCAAGCATTTTTGTACAAGCAAAGCAACCCTTCAGAATAAGTGTGCCAGTAAGACAACACGCAGGGTCTACCAGGTCCCCTCCAATGAAGGCAGTGAGGGCTAGGAGGGCCCCAGGGAACCTCTAGGGGTCCAGTGACTCTACTGGGGTGCCACCCAGTTCCAGCACTGGCATCCCTTCCCAGCATCATCATACTCAGCCTCGCTGTGCTGATAGTGTCCTTCTAAGGTTGAGCGTTTGAGGGAGGCCTGACCCATAAAGACCAGACTCTGCCATCCCAGCGCCCAGACCTGAAAAGTAGGAGCTTCTTCTGTCTCTCCTCAGACCAGTTCTAGGACCTCCAGGGAGTCCAGCCTGGGGCCTAAAGGCACAAAAGACTCGATTCAGTAATGAGGAAGCATCTGTAAGGATGGGGGCCTAGGGATACAGCTCCTCTCCAGCTAGAGAAGAGGACACCAGCTCCTGTTTAGGCAGGGTCTTTATGAGGGAGCAAGATAGCAACTCTGGAGCCTGGGTACTCGTTCCCCCACCCCCAAGGTCTATCTCCAGCCCTGGAGGTTGGGCTAGACAGAACCCCAGAGACTTTTCAACCTCCACTCCTGAGCCTCTGGGTTGACCTATAGGCCTTTCTCCAAGGACACCCTTTGGCCTGAGGCAGGGCAGGCTGACCTCTGGATGCTCCTTGGGGAATCCTCTCATCCAGCCTGATGGGGGCCCCAGCTGGACCACTTGTCCTTCCCTCTCAAAGCCAGGCTCCAAAGTCCTGTCCACAAGAGCTTTACCCACAGGGAGACACTAGTGATTGATCACCAACACAACACCAGAAACACATACCAGCCACAGTAGCTGGCAGATCAAACCCCTACTGTTGTCCAGACGGGGACAGTTAGGCCAGATACAAGAGACAGAGCCAGGCTTCCCAGCAAACACTCAGCCTGGAACACATGTACAAGAAGCTGTGCACACCCATCCACCACACTCCCAGGAGGCCATCAGAGAGGAGGAGGCTGGGCAGGGGATTTTTATGCATGTTTATATTTAATGAACCACATGCAAATGAGATGGAGAATGGCCACAAAGGAGCCAGCCCCTAGAGACTCTCGAGGAAGGCACAAAGGCTTGTCCTCAATCCTTGCAAGCTGCTGAGGGGCCAGGAGTCCAGAGCAGGACTGTGGATTGAGGGAGCCTGAGAGAGGACGTTGGAGCCATGAGGAGGGCTGTCCAGGCATGCCAGGGAGCCTGGAGCAGGGACAGCCAGCAACAAGCTCCAGGGTCCCTGCTTGCTGAGGGAGGGGCTCCTTCTGAGAGGGAGGGAGCCACTGCCCCAATTGATGGAGTGCCAGAGGGGAGGGGCCGCAGCTTGGACAGATGGTGTACCGCCTTCCTGCACTTGAAGCAAAGTGGATTTTAATGAAATCTCAGTCCGGGTGCTGAAGTTGGGAGCTTGTATGGGAGGGGCCTTTCCCCAGGTTTGCAGTGTGGGGCCTGAGCCAGGGTGGGAGCAGGGTGGGAGGAACACTTAACCAGCTGGGGGTACAAGGGGGCACCATGGCCCCCTCTGTAGATCAGAGTTTAAGTGTGAGTCTGATCCCCAAAAGGTGGGGAGGGGGTCCTTGAATATTTATGACACATTGAAATGTAGATTGGTAGGTTTGACAGTCTTCTGAGAGGCCTGTCACCTTGCATGGATACACTACCCTCTTGGGGCGCTTGTGGAAACTACAGAGCTTCATGTGTGTGTGGGGGGAGGGGGGAGGACAAGGAAGGAAAGGATAGAAAGCCACTGGGCCCTAGTAGGGAAGAGGCTGGCCACGCTACTATTGACAATGTCCCTACAAGGTGACAGTGGTGAACCGGTTCACTCTCTGGGCCTCAGTTTGCAGTTCTGTAGAATGTGGCACATACTGCTCAGGTACCAGCAGATAAAAAAGACAGTAGCCAGTCTGGGAGAAGTGCCTTCCTCTAGGTGACTTTCACGAATGAGGTCCAGGAGACCCTTTCCTCCCTGGGAAGCCTCCACAGCCCACACATACCTCCTTAGAGTCTTATCGCTCTGTTCTGGTTTTGTTTTTTGTTTTTTTTTTTTTTTTGAAACAGGGTTTCTCTGTGTAGCAGGTTGTTCTGGAACTCGCTCTGTAGATCAGGTTGGCCTCAAACTCACAGAGATCCGCCTGCCTCTGCCTCCTGAGTGTTGGGATTAAAGGCGTGCACCACTGCCCAGCAAGCTTCATCATTCTGGAGTTGGCCTCCCAGGAATGTTCACCCTACAAGCCAAGGGAGGTCATAAATCCAGTCCAGCACAATGTTGTAAATATATTTAAAACATTATGAATTTTTTCTTTCTGCCTTTTTTGGTAACTAGATTGCATGGTTCTCAGTTGTGAACTTTGCATACAACAATGTCTTGTCTCAGTGTCTCCTCTCTAGGTCTCTTAAACATTATGTCATCTCTGGGATCAGAGTGTGCCTACCCATGGTAGAGAGGGCTGAGGGGAGGGCTGGTATGTCTCTTAAGCTACTGTCCTGCCTCAAACAGACTGCACCTCAGCGGGTGACCCCTCATCACTTCCTCTGCACCTCCACAGTGCACCTTATCTGCCCCCCTCTTCTGTTTCCCCAGCCATGTCAGACTTCCACGTGCACCCCCAGGCCACCATGGGTGAGGAGGGTGGTGTAGCCCGCTTCCAGTGCCAAATCCATGGGCTTCCCAAGCCCCTGATCACGTGGGAGAAGAACAGAGTTCCCATTGACACGGACGATGAGAGGTGAGCCTCTGGTGGGGAGGACAGAGAGGCTGACGGAGGTACTGAATCTGGATAAAAACTTGCAGCCTTGTGTGTGCTACAGTGCCTACAACCTGGGGCAGTGCTCTTTATGCAAGCTGCAGTCAAAATTGGGGGTCCACATGGCTTACTGGACCCTGATCCTAGGCTCAAGAAGGTGTGTGTGAGGGTCGCGTGTGATTGTTATCAAGATTAGGATGGTATATCCACCCGGGAGGGTCCCAGTGAGTGTCTGTGATCACAGCAGTATGACTGGGTTAGTGCCCACATCTCGGTTTATGTCGCCATGGCTTGAGGTCATGCCGGTTGTCAACTGTGCCCTCCCCCAACAGGTACACATTACTGCCCAAGGGGGTCTTGCAGATAACAGGACTTCGGACTGAAGACAGTGGTGTCTTCCACTGTGTGGCCTCAAACATTGCCAGTGTGCGGGTCAGCCACGGGGCCAGGCTTACTGTATCAGGTGAGCTCCTTCGGCCCAGTTCTGTCACCCAAGTTGGTCTACTCCCAGACACACCCAGTTGGCAGCCGAGGCTGGTCTCTAGCCCTCTCCTTTTCCCAGTGATCCCTGGGTTCTTCCAATGCTGGAGGTCTAGCTTGGGGGTAAGGATGGTTGTCAGGACCCTGAAGTTCCCCAACATCTCCTTGTCTTCAGAACTTGTTGGGGGCTGGTGTGTGTCTCCAGGGTCATGAGTGGGAGTGAGGAAGTGGAAAAGCTTCCCACTGAATTAAGGAAATGTGGTCTTCTCCCCTCAGGCTCAGGCTCCGGGGTCTACAAGGAGCCCACCATCCTGGTGGGGCCTGAGAACCTCACCCTGACAGTGCACCAGACTGCGGTGCTGGAGTGTGTCGCCACGGGCAACCCGCGCCCCATTGTGTCCTGGAGCCGCCTGGGTGAGCCTCATCCATAGCCCAGCTCTCTGGCCAGCCTACCCCCTGGGAGGGCTGGTGTCGTGGTCTCATCACCCAGCTCTGGAGGACTTTAAATTGTGTTTGTTCTCCGCAAGGGTCAGTCTCCTCCCCTGTGGCCTGGGGAGGGGCTGAGCTTTTCTGGAGGTCAGCCTGCTGCTCCTGCATTCTCTCTCTCCCTGCGGAGCTGGCTTAGTTCCCTGGGTTACGGAGTAGAGACAGTTCTCCCTCAGTGTCTCTCCAGCCCCAGAGCTCTGCCGCCCTAAGCACCCAGTCCCTCCCACCCCACCCTCCATGCCCTGGCCACACCCCCAGTTTTGCAATCCTAAGCCTTAGCAAGCATCCCACTCCCAGGCTTGCCTGCTCCCAGCCAGAGCTCGCAGGCAACAGAAGAAAGCAGTGAAAGGGTGCAGATGGGCCACTAGTCTAAGCCGAAAGGTCACTGGGGGAAGGAGCCTCCAGAGGGGTGGGGTGGGGCCGCATGCACGAGGAGACTATGCCACACTAGCAGCTGAGTGATGGGGGAAGGAGGGGCCCTGTGGGATAATGGAGTAGATTTCACCACTTCAGGGCCTGAATGGGGAGCTGTCTCCTTGTGTTCTGACTGTGCTAATCTGATCCCTGGGGTGGGGGGAGGGCTTGGGTCCCAGGGAGAAAATGGAAAGAGTAGGCTACCATCAGGAGCCACTAGGCACTCCAGGAGCCATCTGCTCCGTCATTTCCCAGAGTACGGCCTAGGCCTAGTAGGAGAGAAAGAATGGCTCAGGGGCCTAACAAGTGTGGGAAACAAAGTTAACCAAGGCTCTTTACTAAGGGACTTCTCAGAGCCTTTATGTTCAGGGCCCTGTCTGTGCCTTGGCAGCCTGGACTAGAATGGATATTCAGCCATGGAGTTTACAACTGCCGATCAAATTCAAGTCCTCTATGGACTCAAGGAGAAGGGACTAGAAGCGCGTAGGTGCTGAAGCGGGAGGATGTCACCCTAGGCTGTGCGGTGGGAGGCTGGGTAAAAACCAAGCAAACAATAACAGCAAAAGCAGCCAGCAATCGTGCTAGAATCAGGACTCTGGCCCCTGCTGCTGGACTCAAGTACCATGCATTTCTCTGCCACTTCCGAACTTCTGTGGAGGGACGGTGCCAAAGCCGTAGGTGGGGGCTTTCCGGAAGACTAGTAAAGGGGTAAGGCTTCTGGAATGTTCTCATCTCTCCCATCTCCACACTCCCGCCGCTCATTCCTCTCCACTTCCATTGCAGATGGTCGCCCCATTGGTGTGGAGGGCATCCAGGTGCTGGGTACAGGAAACCTCATCATCTCAGATGTGACCGTCCAGCACTCAGGTGTCTATGTCTGTGCGGCCAACAGGCCTGGCACTCGGGTGAGGAGGACAGCCCAGGGCCGGCTGGTGGTTCAAGGTACAGAGCAGCCAAACCCCTGCTTCCCCATGACCCCTCAGCACCTCTGGTCTGTGCCAGAGATCAGTACTTTCTATTACTGCAGCTGCTTAGCCTCGCCCGAGCCCTGCCCCTCACCCCTCATACGTCTCTGGCCCTGTCAAAGACACAGGTCTTCCCGAGAACACAAGTCATAGCGCCAGAGGGGCGTGGCATTCTCTGACTTACAACCTATGTGCCCTGCACATGTTGGTGCCACCCCTTCACCCTGGGAAGCTCTGCCACTTTCTGATATCAGCAGGTCATTCCCCTGGCTCACACGTGTCCCTTCCCGCGGAGCCGTTTCATTCACACATGTGGCTCTTCCACGCTCACACCTGCCTGCTGTGCGCTCTAGTGTGCCTGCCATCTCCTTCTCTCGGGATGTGGGGCCCCCGCAGGCAGCCTCCATTTCCAGGGCTTCTCCCTGGCTGTCTCTCCTCCATGGCATGGGAATAGAGATGGGAAGTGGGGAATCAGGAACTTAAATGCCGTTTGTTTAGCTTGCTGCGTGCTGTTAATCTGTCCGCGTGAAAGTGATGGAGTATTCCATTCCTGGGTGTTAATGGAGGCTTGAGGCTGGGGATTGGAGGGAAGTGGGATTGGGTGGTGAAGGGGGGCTCATCCATCTCCTGTCATTACAGCCTTGGAGGTGCAGCCAGCCTATTAGCACATTTATTTACTTAACAATTTCCTGAGCAGGGAGCTCAGCTTGATTGCTTTCGGATACAGATGTCAGGGTGTTTTTTTTTTTTTTTTTTTTTTTAATAGTCCTTAAGATGGAATCCTATTCCTAGATGCTGGGGTGAAGGAAGAAGAAAGGGAGCCATTCCTGGCCTCTTCTCTGACCCATTAACCCTTTCTCCTCACCCCTCCATTCATGGCTGTCCCTGTGCCTCTCTACACGACCCCTATGACCCCATGCTTCTCTGTGTCCACTCAGCCCCAGCAGAGTTTGTCCAGCATCCCCAGTCCATCTCCAGGCCGGCTGGAACCACGGCCATGTTCACCTGCCAAGCTCAAGGTGAACCACCCCCTCATGTCACATGGTTGAAGAATGGTCAAGTGCTGGGGCCGGGAGGCCACGTCAGGCTCAAGAACAACAACAGGTGTGTGTGTGTGTGTGTGTGTGTGTGTGTGTGTGTGTGTGCACGTGCTGTGTTGTGGTACTATAATGTGAAGAAACGGTGTCTGAAGTCAGTGGTCCAAATATAAGCGTGTACCTCTCTCTAGCCAGGGGAGATGGGATGGGATCCTAGGGATTCTGGGACGTGGGACTCACGTCTTGGGCCTGCCACCCTTGTGCTGATAAGTCTTGCTCAGACAAGCAGGGGCTCAGTCTCTCCATCTCTCAGGGGGGTGCAATGTGGCCAACCTCTGAGGCTCTCCCTCTCCCTGCAGCACACTGAGCATCTCTGGAGTTGGTCCTGAAGATGAGGCCATCTACCAATGTGTGGCTGAGAACATTGCTGGTTCATCCCAAGCCAGCGCCAGGCTGACCGTGCTGTGGGCTGAGGGTTTGCCAGGCCCCCCACGCAATGTTCGTGCTGTCTCTGTGTCCTCCACCGAGGTTCAAGTATCTTGGAGTGAGCCTCTTGCCCACACCAAGGAGATCATCGGCTATGTCTTGCACATCAGGAAGGCTGCTGGTACGTAGTGACCATCAGGAGAGCTCTGTCACCCACCCTAACTGTAGCTAACCCTCTGAACCACACATATCCTGACCCCCTTTCCTTCCACACCCGGCTCGTTGACCACCTTATTTCACCAAAACTTCCAAGATGCCCTCCCATCTCTTAACACTCCCTGGGGCTCCCTTTTGCCTCCCAGACTCTCCCAAGCTGGAGTATCAGGAAGCAGTTAGCAAGAGCACCTTCCAGCACCTGGTCAGAGATCTCGAGCCCTCCACAGCCTACAGCTTCTATATCAAGGCCTACACACCAAGGGGGGCCAGTTTAGCCTCTGTCCCCACCCTGGCCAGCACCCTGGGGGAAGGTAAGGAGATTGGGATGCGGAACCCTAGATGCTCGGGCTATCGGAGCACCCGGTACTGGTCCTGAGGCTAAGCAGGGACAGCTCTCCCGGGAAGAAGGGGCAGCCTTTTAGAGTGAGGCCATGCCCTGTGCCTCAGGTTAGGAGAAGGCTGTCAGGTTCTTGGGTTCTAGGTCACGGGAAGAAAACTAAAGCTCCGACTGACTGCTCTCATCTTGGCCCTCTAGCCCCCCTCCCGCCCCCGCTATCGGTGCGGTTGCTGGGCAGCTCCTCTCTGCAACTTCTGTGGAAGCCTTGGCCACGCCTGGTCCAACACAACGGGGGCTTCAAGCTGTTTTACCGCCCGGTCAGCGCAGCCTCCTTCACTGGCCCCATCTTGCTCCCTGGGACTGTCTCCTCTTACAACCTCAGCCAGCTTGGTGAGACATGCAGGGTGAGGGGCTGGGCAAGGCAATGACACTGGGTGCCCGGGGTGGTGTCCCTCCCCTTCCAGAACAAAGCTGCCTGGCAGGGAAGGGGAAGCTGCTGAGTAGCCCTGCTTCCTGCAGACCCCAGTACTGTGTATGAGGTGAAACTCCTCGCCTACAACCAGCATGGAGACGGGAACGCCACCGTCCGCTTCGTGTCTTTGAAGGGAGCCTCTGAGAGGACAGGTAAGGGCTAAGGATAGGCCATGGGCTGCAGCCTGACCTGAAGGGGCGAATGGGTGACAAAAGGGTGGGAGGGAGGCTGTTGTTTGCAGCCCTCGTGCACACGGCTTGGAAGCATAAAGCTTAACTGTGCGGCTTTGCAGCTGTATGCGTGACCTCGGGCGAGTTGCTCCACTTCTTTCAAGCTTTATTCTATTTATTTATTCATTTATTTTATTTTATTTCCCATTATGAAACAGGGTTAATGGTTCCTACTTTGTAAAACTATGGCAAGGATGAAACAGTCCATAAAAACAAAACAAAGTACAGCTGCTCTTGGCTGGGAACACAGCTCAGTTGATGAGTGCTTGCCTAGCAGCTCCAAAGCCCTGGGTCCCATCCCCAGTGCCATAGAAACCAGGCATAGCATCTGTAATCACAGCACTCAGGAGGTGGAAGCTGGAGGATGAGAAGTTCAAGGCCATCCTCAGCTACATAGCAAGTTTGAGGTCAGCCTGGGCTACGTGAAACCCCGTCTCAAAATAAATAGCACAAGTCTTGGTATCTGATACAGAACCCGGTGCTTAGAACTTAGAGAAAGAGCTGAAAGATTGAGCTGGGGCCCCGAAGGAAAGGTTAAAGGGGTCGAGCAGAGGAAGAAGGCTGGGGAGTCTTGCTTCAGGCCAGCCCAACCTGCCCTGCCCTCTAGCCTTGAGTCCCCCCTGTGACTGCCGGAAGGAAGATGTCACCAACCATACATCCACCACAGGCATTGTCATCGGCATCCACATCGGAGTCACCTGCATCGTCTTCTGTATCCTCTTCCTCCTGTTTGGCCAGAGGGGCAGGTGGGTCCTGAGTCTGGGGAGGAGCTGCCGCGGGGGACAGAGACAGAGCTGGCAGCTCAGCCTCTGTCCCCAGTGGTACCCCCCTAACACTTGCCTCATCTCTTAGGGTCCTCCTGTGTAAGGATGTGGAAAACCAGCTCTCCCCTCCTCAGGGTCCCCGGAGTCAGAGGGACCCTGGTATCCTGTCCCTGAATGGAATGAGCCGAGGAGAGGGGGCGCAGCTCGGCCGAGATGAGAAGCATATGGGTGCCAAGGAGCTGGAGCAGTTGTTCCCTGCAGCTGGACCAGCTGGGCAGCCAGGCTCCAGGCCCTCTGTGAGTACCTGCGCCCCACCCACCTCCCTCAGTCTCTGACTCCCCCATGCTGCCCCTTGCTTCGTCTCTTCCTGGGGCACCTAATTCCTGGTCAGGGCTGCTCCTTGGGTCCTGAGTCAGTCTGGGAAGCCTACGGATGGCCAGGCACACCCACCCTGCAGCCTGCAGTCCGCATGCTTCTGCATTTGGCACGAACAGCTATGAATGTGGCCTAACTTAAAATCGAAAATTTACATAAACCGGGCGGTGGTGGCGCACGCCTTTAATCCCAGCACTCGGGAGGCAGAGGCAGGCGGATCTCTGTGAGTTAGAAGCCAGCCTGGTCTTCAGAATGAGTTCCAGGACAGCCAGGGTTATGCAGAGAAAACCTGTCTTGAAAAAACAAACAAACAAACAATCAAAAAAAAAAAAACAGCAGGATGAACTGGGTGTGGTGGTGTATGCCTGTCATCCCAGCAATACTCAGGAGGTGAAGACATGAGAATCAGAATTTCAGGATTAGCCTTGGCTACATAGAGAACCAACCTAAAAAATTATGATTATAAGCTTGGTGGTCCACATCTTTAATCCCAGAACTCAGGAGGCAGGTGGATCTGTGAGTTCTAGACTATCCTGGTCTACAAGCGCTAGTTCTAGGCCATCCAGGACTACAGAGTGAGACTTTGTCTCAAAGAAAAAAGAGAAAGGATTTTGAGGGTTTTTTTTTTTTTTGCTTTTTTTTTTTCTTTCCAAGACAGGGTTTCTTTGTGCAGCCCAGAACCAGACTCACAGAGATCTACCTACTTCTGCCTCCCGACTTCTGGGAATAAAGGCATGCGCCACCACTGCCCAGTTGGAAAGAAAGGATCTATATATATCTTTTTCATGTGACTTGGCTGAATGGTCTTCAGCATGATCATTTTGATGACAATGGACAATGTGCTGACACATTGGATATGAAAAGTTTAGACACAACCGCTGGCCCCACATCCTGGGGTGGGATGGGGACCGACCCTTGCCTCTAGCTCTGATACTGACATCCATACCCAACCTTCCTTCCTCAGGATTCTGCAGCCCCTCCTCTGTGTGGGGAGACCCAGCTCTCCATGGTGCAGCTTCAAGGCTTCAGCCTTCTGGCAGGAAGGACAGCAGAGGCCAAGTCCTCCTTTGCAGGGCCTGGACCTGCCTCAGATCCCCAGGATGTAGGCCTCCTCAGTGAAGGACAGGACGCCCAGCCTCCAGCAGTGCAGGCTTCCTTGTGAGCCAGCGTTTGATGTGTTCCGGAGGGGCAGTGCCCCATTCTCAGGTTGAAGGCAAGGTTTTTCCTGCTCCGTGGGACTTGAGTGGTTCTAGAAGCTCGCCAGTGCTTCTAGTTTAACTGAAGGGCAGGGTTCTCAAACCACAGGAGCCAGTGGGTCCTACAGGAAGGCATCTCCCCTGCTAGAGCTAATGTCCCTTCACCAATGCCTGCTGCCCACAAGAGTTCTAATGAAACAAAGTTTTCCTTTAAAAATCAAAATTTGAAAGTCAAAAAAGAGAAAGAAGAGAGAGAGGAAGTAAACTGTGCTGCCAACAATATGTCCCTGCTGCAGCCTGGCCCTGATGCCCTCGCCCTGTACCAATCTTGTTTTCTCAGGATGGACTCTCAGCACCTACCTCAGCCGGAATGAATGTCCTTGGGAGTAGCGGGGCAATAGCCTCAGCCCCCTGCCCCACAGAGCCCGAATGCACTCCTACCTCAAGCCCCCTTTTGGGTACCTCTCCCACCCCATATTCTTGCCCTGAGAGTAAAAGAAAAAGGAGAAAAAATAAGAAAAAAAAAGAAAGAAAAAAACAAAACAAAAAAACACTATCCCAACTCTAAGTGTGAAAGAAACTGTCTACCTCAAGCCTCAAGGCCCTCGGTGTGGGCCTGTGTTGTCACTGGGCCCTCCTAAGCCTCCCTCTTCCCCCAGCCTTGCCTGCCTCTGCCCCAACAGAGGAGTCTGTGGCTAAGTAACCATGGGGTTTACAGAAATAGAGATGAAATTGGCCAGAGAGAAAATGTGAAACAAGCCAAATCAAGAGGAAAATTGTTCCTTGAAGTATAAATTGTTGTCCCAAACTGGTCACCTCCTGGCATACCAAACCTGTCCTCCATCCCCCGTGTCTGTCCACCCCTGCTCTGATCTTCTCAGACAACCCACTGGCCATTGGGATCCCTCTGATCCCTCCCTGCCTGGCACTGGGGAAGGTAGGACATAACCTGGAGGCTGTCCCCTGTCCTGCCCAGACATGGGGCCCAGTCCCTAGAATGTACTGCATTACTTGGAGTGGGTACACCCCAACAGAGGCACCCCAGCTTTCTGTATTACGGGACCCAGGTAACCTGACCTACGCAGTCAGCAGGGGTGGCCAGGAGTTATTTTTGTATGAGGTGTGTTTACGTTTTATTTCTCTTTTCTGTTGTGTTGTTCTTTGAGCTACTTAGGTTAAAAAGAAGAAAAAGAAGAAAGAAAGAAATACCTATTTTTGGTTACACTCAGAAACATTTTTTTAAATAGCAGAAGGAAAACTTTTTTTTAAAGAAAAAAAGGGGGGATAAATGTATTCCTTAAAAATGAGGTTAGAACATAAAGTCCCTGACCCCAGATCCTCTAGGGACTGCCCACCCTGAACTTTAGATATTAGCTGATAAAGGTAGAATTCGTGGCGTTTTATAGAAAACTAGAGTCTTGTCCAAGTGAACTTGGGAAGGGCAGTTTGTCCCTTCTCCCAGATGGTAGGTGGATTCCAGGGCTCCTCCCACTCCTTTGGTCAGAGGGGCTGTGGGGAGATGGGACTGGCCGCCTCCTTGGCCTGGCTTGGGTTTGTCACAGTCTGTCCATTTTTAACTGAATAAAGATACTGTTGCCAAAGTGACTGTTGAGGTTTTTGATACTGGGTCAGATTCTGGGCTAGAGAGGGCAGGGGGATGGGGGCGTGTTTTGGGGAAAGGGCCCTCATAGTATCAGGGCCTGGGATATTGGCAATGATACCTTCAGAACTGTGTGAGGCACCCCCAAGTGGGCACTCTGTGGGCAGGTCACACGTCTACTCGTGGCCTTGTGAAATAGCTGTACTAGTGATCATTCCCATTATTAGGGTCACAACTCAGGAGGCGGGGAAGCTGGGGCTGGAGTTCAGTTGGCCTAGTGCTTGCCTAGCATAGGGCCTGGGTTACCTCCCAGCACTACATAAGCGAAGCATGGTAGTGTGTGACTGTAATCCCAGCACTGAGGAGGTGGAGGCAGGAAGATAAGTGCAGGGTCCTCAGTTACATTGGTGCCCCTCCTCTCCCACCAACCACCCCATCTAGCATCTCAAGGTAGAAGATGGTAGTAGCCAGGGCTTAAACCCATTCTGATTGCCTGGTGCCCTGTAATGTGTTTTAACATGGCCTCTAATCTGCTTAGGAGCTGTGGTTTGGGCAGCCATCTCTGTTCTACTCAGCTTCACCCAGCTGACCCTTTTCCCATCGGTGTAATCTATTTCCCTAAGTATGACCAGCCTTCAGGACTTGCTTTAATAAACAATGTAGTGGTCCTATTGTGTCTCTAGGGCCAGGTTAGAAACAATAGTACGGGTCTGGAGAGATGGCTCAGTGGTTAAGGGTATTGCCCGCTCTTCCAAAGGTTCTGAGTTCAGTTCCCTGCAGCCACTTGGTGGCTCACAACCATCTGTAATGAGGTCTGGTGCCTTCTTCTGGCCTGCAAACATACACACAGACAGAATATTGTATACATAATAAATAAAAAAAGAAACAATAGTATGACTGCTACATTGTTTATTAAAGCAAACCCTGTAGGTCCAGTGAGAGATGATGTCTCAAAAATAAAAAATAAACATACACAAACAAAAAACACCCAGGCAAAAAGCAATTAAGGCAAGTCCCCCTCCACACACCTGCACATACACACAGAGCCAGAGGCTGGGGATGAAACCCTGGATTCAATTCCCAGACTTGCATAAACCAAGCATGGTGCTACACACCTATAACCCCAGCATATGGGTCGTAGAGGCAGGAGGATCGGAAGTTCTGGGTCATCTTCAAAAGAAGAGAGTTTGAGGCCAACCTGGGCTACAGACCCTGTCAAAAACAAGGAGAGGCGGCAGGTGAAATGGTTCATCAGGTAAGGGCACTTGCCACCAAACCTGATGACCCTGTGACCAGCCTGGTAGAATGAGAGAACTGATTCTTGCAAGTTGTCCTCTGACGTCCACAGGCACACTATAACATGTACAGTCACATATAACCAACCAACCAAACGTGGCTTACGTGGGGGGAGGGAATCCGCAACTCAGGTGGGAAGGAATTCTATACTTGACCTGACTTCCCTGGAGCTCTCTGGAGCTAAAGGAGCCTCTGGTCCCACCCTGGCAGCCTGGTAGCCAAGCACTTATGGAACGGGGCTGTGACAAGAGGGATTTGCTGCCACCTTGTGGAATCAATGAACACTACAGCCAATGGGACAGGCGTGCCGTTTTAAACATCAGTAGCGGTCAAGATGTGCTTCGTTTGCCCCCTGCAAGAGAGGCGCAGAGACAACCTCTATGAACCTACAATACAAATAACTCACAAGTATCAAAAGACTGTCTCGGGTGTATAGCAGCAGCCTGCTGTAGAAAGAGAAGGCACAGAATTGCTGAAGTACTGGATTGAGGAATAGAAAAGCCAGGGGGTAGCAAAGAAAGGCTGGAGGTGTGGAAGTGAACCAGGAGGTCACCGGACAGTCAGGAGGATGTCATTTGCTTCGTGGGGTGTGGCGCTTAGATAATCAATGGAAAGCGTATAAACGGAACAACTGTTAGATTCCCCCAGCGGATGCTCTTCACATGGTCTGATGTGGCCTGGAATCTTCTGAGAGAGGAAAGGGGCCTCAGTGAAGACTCATGTCCCAAAGATAATCATGACATCTGTAATTTCTTCTTTTTACTTTGCATTAACATTTTTATTACATTTGCTTGTTTATTATGGAGGAAAATGTGTCTGTACATCATGGTTCACATGTGAAGGTCACAGGACAATTTATGGAAGTCTGATCTCTCAAGGACTGAATTCAGCCAGATTTAAAAGCAGGTGCTTCCTCACCTGGGAAACACGGTAGAGCTGATTCTGGTGCAGGCGTGAGCTAGAGGGCGCAGAGGGCGTGCGAGCAGAACTGGCCTTGCCCCTTGCTGCTTACTGCACATGATGAGCTAGCTGGGGCGGTGCTGGAGAGCTCACCCTGCTGGTGAAGGAGAGCTGTTGGTCTGACCAACCCAGCAGCCACCCAGGTCCAGAAATAGGGCTTTGAGTTGGCCCACCCCAACATCCACCCCATCTGTGCTCTGCCGGAGCTCGTGAAGGGACTGGTCCTGCAGTTCCTGACACAGGATGACAGGATAGCCAAGAGGAGTCCCGGTGAGGGCCCAGGATTGGCAGAACAGCAGAAACCAGAGGCCTCGAATCAGACTCGTTTTAATGAACACTTGTAAGCAATGACATGTGAACTAAAGGGTTTAGTGTGTGGCTCACTATGTCACACTGCAGCTTCTACAACGAGATTTTTCTTTCCTTCCTTCCTTCTTTCTTTTCCTTTAAATTTTGTTTTGTTTGATCTTGGGGGAGGTTACAAGGGCAGAGGGCAGATGTGAAGGGGTGGAGAGATGAGTGAGATCAAGGTTCATGAGTGAAATCCACAAAGAATCAATAAAAAGTGCCGGGCGGTGGTGGTGCACACCTTTAATCCTAAAACTCGGGTGGCAGAGGCAGGCGGATCTCTGGGAGTTCGAGGCCAGCCTGGTCTACAAGAGCTAGTTCCAGGACAGGCTGCAAAGCTACAGAGAAACCCTAGAAATACCAGAAGAAAAAAAAAGAATCAATAAAAAGCTAAATGGGAGGGGGGAAGCAAGTGCTTTAACCAGATGAAAAACCCAAGACCCAGGGAAGTAAAGAGTGATCGGGGCTTGACCACCAGAGTCCTTGTCCTAGCAGGCCACTGGCTTGTTCTGTGTTTCCAGAAGGATTATTGGGGGGTAGAATAGAAACGAACTAACATGGAGTTGTTTTGGTTTTGTTTATTATAAGTTTTGAGTTAAATATAATTACATCATTTGCCACTTCTCTTTCCTCTCCCCAACCTTTCCCATATGTGCCCTTGCTCTTTCTCAAATTTGTGGCCACTTTTTCTTTGTGTGTGTGTGTGTGTGTGTGTGTGTGTGTGTGTGTTCCTGAACATATAAATATAACCTGCTCAGTCTGCATAATGTTACTTGTGTGCTGTTTGTTTTAAGAATGAGGAGATCCTGGGCTGTCACACACACCTCCTGTCCAAACGAGAGTTAAATATTCATAAAATGAGCAGGGAGCCTTCCGTGACCTCACCACCGCAGATCAGAACAGATGCTTTATGACCGTCATTCAAGGTCTCCTCACCAGAGGCGGGGGTAGTTAAGAGTATGGGCTGAGGTTTATAATCCTGGCTCTGTCAATGTCCAGCTGAGCAACCTGGCAGACACACCCTCATCTCCGTCCCACTTTCCTCCTTCATGGGTTGCTGGAGGCGTGAACAAGAAGCCCCAGGGCTGAGCACACTGTCATTATTATTAATGAGGCTAACGTTCTATTTCCATCACCGAGTCCAGCTATCTAAAAACAAGGCCTGGCTTCTCCTGGCCTGTTTCAGGGTGAGAAGGCTGGGCCTTTCTGCAGGCTGTGCCTTTGGTCTGTAATAACCACCACCTTGGTCTGGGGAGATCTTTCCCCATCCTCTCCAGCTAGAGCCACTGCTGCCCTCTACACTTTCCACTGTGCCTTGATTAGCTCTCTCATACCGAACCCTCGCCCCGAAACACTAGAGCACAACGGGCTTGGTGATCTTAGGGTTCAATTTCCCAAGGGCCGAGGGACTTTAGGATCGGACTGAGGTTGTGCTAAATGCTCAGTGAAAATTTGTGGAACAGCAGGAAATGTGGAGGAGAGAAGGGACAGACCAAAAGCAGTCGATACGGGCGGTGGTGGCACATGCATTTAATCCCAGGACTCGGGAGGCAGAGATCTCTGTGAGTTCAAGGCCAGTCTGATCTGCAGAGAGAGAGTTCCAGGACAGGCTCCAAAGCTACGCAGCGGAGAATTCCTGTCTGGGGGGGAGGGGGGAAAAGAAAGACAGCAATAAAACTGGAGATGAACCCAAGAGTGGTTGAGGCTGTACATGCCTTTAGTCTCAACATTTGGGAGGATAGGTAGAGGGGTCTCTGTGAGTTTAAGGGCAGGGGCAGCCTGTTCTGCATAGTGAATTGTAGGCCATCCAGGATTACACAGTGAGATCCTGTCTCTCAAAACAAAACAAAAGATAAACCTGAGCTGAAATGGTAATGGACCTCTGTAATTTCAATCCTAGGCTACATAGCAAGACCTCATTCCCCCCACCAAATGTACTAGTACTAGTAGTAGTAATAATAATAATAGGGCCGGAGAGATGGCTCAGTGGCTGAGTGCTCGCTACGTAATCCTGAGGACCAGAGTACAGACCCCAGCACACAGGTAACATCCCACATACCTGCGTGTACACGTGAACAGAGGCATAGACACACAGAAATAAATATCTAAAAGTAAAAATAAACAAATAAGCTTGCTCCTAAAGCTGCAGTGCAGGTAGAACAGGCACTGAGCAGGCATGAAGCACTGGGTTCCAGCCCCAGCTACCTTCCAATTTCTTTTCTTTCTTTTCTTTTTTCCTTTTTTTTTTTTTTTTTTTTTTTGGTTTTTCGAGATAGGGTTTCTTTTCTCTGTGGCTTTGGAGCCTGTCCTGGAACTAGCTCTGTAG